ATGATAATGATTTAATGTAGCAACGTGCACGCGGATTTTGGTCGCGGTTAAAAAGCGTACCACGCGTACGTTTGTGTAAAAAAAAAAAACGTCTAGGGTACGGGCGGAAAATATTTGCCACGTTTACACCGCGCCCGGCAGTGTACGGTTTATTCGGTACACCTGTCGCTGATGCTGCTGCTGTTACACGTGAATTATACCGCCGAATCGTTTCGTCCGCGAAGTACGATCGGGATTTCTCGCGAAATCCGCGACCATCTATCCGGGCTCATTGTTCGTACCGCGCGAACGCGTTCCAAATGTCGTCGGGGTCTTGTTGCGAACAACGCTGCGTACGCGATAACAGTACGTCGTAAATTCGGTTTTATTTTTTTTTTCAAACGGTTGTTTACACGGCCGATTTATTATTATTACGAAATCATCGTACAACTCGTCCGCGACGAACAAAAGAAGTTTATTACGACAACGAGTGTCCCGTACACGCGTACGTTTAGCATCTTTATGCGAGTGCAACGCGGTCGCTTTTAAATAAAACGTACACGGTGTGGTCCGGGTTTTATTTTATTTCTTTTTTTTTTTTTTTTTTTTTTTTCGCCGGGTAATAATTCGCACGGGCACATAACATTTACGTACAACACATTTTACGTTGCACGCACACACATCACGATGTCGCCGTGCGCACCACTCATGGGACGTCCTGCGCGCGCGAGTTGCCCACGTTTTCCAAATTAAGACGGTCGAGCGACGCGTTTTCCGCCGGAACAATACCGCATTACCATAATACACGGCTAACGGCCGCGATACCACCGAGGACACGGCACGTGTAACGGCTCGCAGGTGCAGCCGCGCTACATAATGTTTATGATGTATTCATCCGGCCCATCATTGCATCGGTCCCGGGACGGGTCGGAAACGTTAACATTTTATACCGTGTACGATACCGTTTCGAAATCCGTATGAAATCTAAACGTCGTTATTACTACTACTACTACTATTATAATTTAGTATAATATTATTATACTCGGCGCAGTAGGTACCTCCTATAGGATTCCCGTTTATTCGATTTGTGCGATGTGTACACGTAGATCTATTATATAATAGTACGTAAATCAATTAGATCGCAACACCGTCCTGCACCGCGCAGTACAACGAGTTCTCGAAATATATATTACGCACCTGTATACATGTATGTATATTATTAATTTCAGAAACCGGTAAACGTAAAAATGCATTACATCCCGCATCGAATTGAGTAATTATCGAGTTTGGGATTTTTTTTTTTTTTATTTTTTTTTTTTCCATACGCACTTATACGAAACGAGAATCACTGTTCGGCGAGCGCACGGGGAGGGGGAAACGATTCTTATCGGAATTCCATGGCTCGACCAATAATTTTAATGGCCGCCGAACGCTCGCACTACACACGAATATATATTATACGTATAGTTTACGATACAATGTTACACATTGATTATATGGTTAGTCGGAGACTTGAACGCGCTTGTAGGAACGGTGGACAACACACCGGCTTGTTATGCGCGAGCGCACATTCGTTCGGCCCGTCCTTGGCGTTTAATTGCGCTCGGCGACAATAAATTTTTAAGCGTTTTTAATTACCAGGGATGGCACGATTCGCCTTTCGAACCGACCGTGACGCATGCGTCGGCGTATGCGCAAAAGAACGTTACAATACGGTGTGATCTGTGCGCGTGCGACGGGATCGCGTCGGATTTGACGAACACGCGGTTTTCGACAGGTTTCCGCTGCTCATCCGGTACAATATAATGACCACGTTGTAGGTATTCTGGACTATAGATACTGTTTATGTGTACAGTTTTCGTTTTCCGTATGGACGGACGCGTACGGCCAACGAGGTCGTTTCGGGTGTTAATATACTTGTCCCTCGCCGTATTCAAACCGAAAACCCATTGCATACATATTGTGTGTACTAAACGCTTCGGGTGTTCCGAAGAAAAGTAGGTACTAAGCGTCATATGTAAATGATTCCATTACATACGTACATATGACAAAGTAGGGTACGGTAGTGATGTAAAAAAAAATACATTTGAAATGCACACGCGCATATTGCGATGTAATAATATGTTCTCGTAGCTCCGTAAGGACGTGTACCTCCTCCCTAACAGGAAATCGTATTTAAATATATAATAAAAGCATTCTACATTTAAAAATCCTGACAGCGCACCTGAAACGTAGAGGACATTTCGAAAGAACATAACCGTACGGTGTTGTACAAACCTTCGTGCATTCGTTCTGAAATTACGTCACGGCAAATTCCGTTGCGGCGGTACGCGTAGATTTATCGATCTTCGTGTTATTATTTACCTAGACACACGGGCGTGCAAAAGAATACGTGCACACACGCGTGTACGCAACTGGTTTGAAAATCTATTTCTATCATCTCGAAAAGTTCTCATAGGCGAACGCAACGGGTCGCGCGCGCGTCGCTCCGACACCGCCACCGCGACAATAAATTCAGCTCGGCCACTCTATTGTGAGCTTATAGATTATAAAGAGATTTACGGTTTTCTGCGTACGCGCGCGCGCGCGCACACACACCCGTGTACACACCTGGTTCACGCCATCTACGTACACTTACGGGGACGTACACGCGATAAATATGTGCGGAAAAGAGACCGGGTATAAATTGTCGCCGCCGCGATTCAAACACCGACGGCGACGACGGTCGGTTTCGTTATCGTGTGGTAATAATTGAGTTGAATTGGAAAGCGCGTATATGTAAGCGGCGCGTATTGTGTTTATAAGGAAATAACGCGTACGGTCGAGAACGGGAGAGGGACAGACGGAGAACACTGTAGTACGCACGTACATTCGATATAATAATATGCGTATGAGCCCGAGAGAAACAAGAAGAAGAAGAAGAAGAAGAAGAAGAAGAAGAAGAAACAAATTGTGTACATATGGCCGGGAGAGTTCACTGACTTGCGCGCGCGGGGAAAGAATTCCTAAAACCAGAAACGTTATATTCTTGTGCGTATATACGTACGAACGTTAATCCGACAATAATTGGGTGTCCCGGCGGACGACGACCACGTCGATTTAGACTTTCGCGCACCGCTTCACAACGCGACGCCGCGCATCGCAATAAACGTTCGGCTACCGTGTGCACGACGGTAACGGTACGTTTTCGTTTCGCCCCGCGACCGGACGTAAGCGGTCGGTTTTATTTGATAATAAATGTTCGTACGACGCGGAGAAGAACATGTACCGGTAATTGCGTGCGACGAGAATTGTTGTTCGCACCGCGCAACCTGTGCACGCGCCGAAACCCTATACGCGGGTTTGAGCGCGATGAAACGTCAAAACGTAGGTTTTCGATGCGAACACCTACTCCGGGATTGAACAGCAGCACGCGAAATATTACGTATGCGCCTACGTTGTACGGTTAATATCGTGCGCGATTACCATTACGAGTCGTTACCCGCGAAGCTTGCAAATCGGTTACTAACAGCGGCCGACGCGCGAATATCAACCGATACCGAAGTATCGCCGAACGTTGAACGTTTTTCAATAGCCGTCTGATGATCGTTTCCGTTGTTCCGCGACGATTTTACAATTATTTCCGCGATCCCGAAAATAACCGCGTAGGCGTCGGTTTGAACAATGAATCAATGAGAAGAATTACTACAAGACAATAAACATTATGTAACACGTGACCACGTTGTAGGTGTCGTCATTCGATAAACCGTTCACGAGATATAATAGTACTTAAAACCGATTTCAATCTGTGCCACGACCATTATAAACAATACCACCGAAAATTATATTGCGCACCTATAATAAACACACACACACACACACACACACACACTGACGATAAACTTTAATTTATATTCGTCGGGAACGCATTCTTTTTACTTTACACGTGCACCTCAGCGCTCTTGCTTGAGGTCATGGCGGCGGTGTCATTGTCGTATTGTCTGTAACGCCGGGAATGCTAATGATACGCGATACGTTATAATAAAACATTGTAATAAATGAATCAAAACGTTTTGTGATTGATTTAAAAGTATAATTACCGCGCGAGGTCCGCTTTAATAAATAATTCTCGAAACGGGGCGACGGCTCTCGACTACACTAATATTGCATAACGCATACGTGTACTATACGTACATTATCAAATGCGACGTGTCTCATTACGATCATTATCTCGACGATTCATCGCGCGCACGCTCGCTTGTAAAACGGATAAGTATAAAATTCGAATGGGATACGAGTGTGGTGGAGTATTCGGGTGGGTCGATATGATATAACGTATAGTCGAAGTGTTACCGATTAGGGAAGAGTTTAGGGGCGATACGAAAGGATACGTGTCGTAGGTAATCGAATATTTTCAAGTTGAATTATACCGCACAATAATCGCACACAGTTAACAGTGATAAATGTTATCAGAGGGAAAAATCGATAAATCGAAATTGAGTGATCACACGGCCACGACCTTGAATGCTCTCGGGAATAAGAAAAATGTTCAAAAAATTACGATTGAATTTAAATACGTTGAATTGAATGCCATAAAATTGATATCTTAAATTATTCCACAGCATAAAAACGCATTGGACATGTAAATTTGAGCGTTCAAAAAAAATGATTGAAATCAGGTTTTTTAAGCCAATCGGTTTTATTATTAGTAATTTCTTGCTATCGCGTATTCATATCGTATCGTAATTGACGTAATCGAGGTTATAAGTACCTCTATTTTATCGCTATCGGAGAGGTAATCGGGAATTTATAAATCACACAGGTACAATCACTTGGTCGTAATAAAAATCTACTAATATACATAACAAGATTATATATATTAATTTTTAAAATCCTACGCTAAACCGTATCGATTTATTTGTTCGTCAATGCTCCTAATATAAATACATATATGCCCGTAAAAACGCTATAAGAACTGAAAAAGTTAAGGAAAAAAAAAATGGTAATGTTTCGTCGTAATAACGCGGTAGCGATCCGCTTACCTGTATCCGTCGAATCCCTCGTCGGAGCCGTTCACTGTGAGTATCGGAGCACGGGCGTAGGCCTTGGCCACACGGCGGTTTCTCTCGAGCACTATCACTTTGGCCCAGATCTCGTCGTCGATTTGCGTCCATTTGTCCAGCACTTCTTGGATGTGGTCCTGTAAACGAACGAAAACGGACGTGAATGTCGAAATATCGAAATAGAACACAAAAACGTTTACTACGGGATGGGCAAGGGATGAACACGATTTCACCCGGGCCGCAGAGGACGCACGTCCTCACTGTAGGATGTGCGATCCTGCTGATGGTCGTGCGCCCGGCAAGAGTGTGTAAGCAGTGTCATTATTGCGCCCGCGGAACGTCCGAAAACACCGTCAGTTTTTAATTCTCTTAGAGGTCCTGCGCGTACAACCGGTAGAAAAATATTAACGTTTCGCAGTGCTTTTGCCAACGTTTTACCACACGCTCGATCATATCACACCGTATACTACGCGGTGTCCACGTAGATTTTGCAGTATAGTTGTTAAACGGTCGAACAGCAGTGAAACGCAATTCGACTTGATCGCACAAAAATACATTTTTATTTTCAACAGTTTACACTGTGATATTTTTTATAAAGTTACTTTTATATCATTCATTTTCGTTCCTGTCGCAACCCACGCATGGAGTTACACAACTAAAACTACGATTATTTTTACAAACCGTGTACATAAACACTCCATTCTCGCGGATAAAATATAATACTACGCGCGCGCAATGTAGAAAAACCGATGGACTCGAAACGTTTATCAGGTCTAAACGTGCGAAATCACCCGGCCGTTACTAAACGCCCGCACAACAATAGTGTACCTGAGGACGACGGTGTTGACCGCCGCCGCGTGCGTTGCGTAACTCAACCGTCTAAGGAACACGCGCGCGTGCAAGCGGTCGAGCGGTGGTTTCATTTTTTTTTTTTTTTTTTTTTAAATTCCTGGCGCAAGTCGATCGATAACGCGATACCGATGTTTGGCTTCCGCGGGCGTTATCGTGGCGTATCGCCAGTATTATCATTACGTTACGAAATCCATATTTTCCGGTTCAAGCGGTCGTACGAACAAAACGTCGTAACGCGGTAAAAGGTTCGTCGAGGTGCAAAGGACCGACCCACGGCGGTGCAGCAGATTTTCGCGGATCGGACATGGGAACGAATATTTTTTAATTTTTTTATTTTTCACATAACAATTCGAAGGGCAGCCGTAACACAGCAGCCAGCGTTGTTATTATTGTCTGTATCGGCGGCAACGCCCTAAATCAAATCCGCATAGTATAAATGTAGCGTGCGTTGCGATGGAGCGAATGGTTGGGAAGTGGGGGGGGGGGGGAAAAAAAACAAGATATTTCCGCCGTCGTAAGGGCGTACAACCTTGGAGGACACAATCGATTTTTTCGCCAGCCACGGAGGTGTACCAATTACACGCGCGCGTGCACGCAACTACTCCGGAGCTGGTCCGGAGAGCGACTTACTCGTCCTTTGCGCAGAAATATATTATTACTGTTACCGATGTACCTGTATTTAACTGCGCACGAGACGACCGAGTAGAGAGAAAAGCGAAACCGTATTGGATACGCAATTATAGTTGTCAGAGCTCGAGCCGGACAACCCCCGGGGGTCTGTGTTTCGCCGAGCGAGATTCGATCGGGCGTGGTGCCACGACGACCTTGAGAGCGCCGCGTCGACCGCGACGCTCTGATTCACTTCGATTAATAATTGTATTCCAGTCGATCGGTTTGGTTTTCGTTTATTACTAGTTTTTATTTTTTTTTCGCTAACGAAATGTTTTGCAGCGCGGCTCGGTGTAAAAATAGATTCGCAGCAGCAGCAGCAGCAACATAATAATAACAGGTGTCGGAACGATGATGGAATTCAATTTGCATCTTAACCGAGGGCAAAGCGCTCGTCGGCCGTGAAACACAACGCGATCTTCGTCTCACTTTGCGATTCGGGTGCAAATGTGTACATAATATTATATTAGTACGTGTGTCCGTGTGTTATTGCGCAACGACGACACAAAACAGTTTTGCACATTCGCGGCAGTACGTACAGAGTGATCAGAGTTTCAGCGATTTCGTTACGTAATTGTAGTAATTGTAAATATTTGTCGAATTTGTAAATGAGAAAAACGTTTTTTTTAAACGAACTTTTTCGTGGTATCGTCAAGCTCGTTAATTATATATATATATATATATATATATATATATATACATGAAAAATAAAGAGAAGTCTATTTCAATAGCAAAAAATATTTTTTTGTAATCTAAATTTATTTTTTTGGCGGGTCTGGCGAAATCGCCGAGTATTACATAGTGCGAACCCGATGTTCGATTGTTTTGATCATATTATGCGACCGCCGCCGTTACTTTTTCTTCGCAGTCGACGGCTTACCGTGTTAATATCATCATTACAATACTTACACAGTACTACTCGTACCTACGTACAATTGAGTTGTCACAATGATTCGCGGACACCGTCGCGAGACGATGATTTTATCGGAATAATCATGCGAGTGCGCCAACGGTACGATACAACTATATACGACACAACGGCAACGATAATATCGAATGGTAAAAAGCAAAAGGAGTTATGTGGCAATGTTACTACTTTTCAGGAGACAAAAAAAAAAAATTCATATTTTTTTAACTTTTGCGTTTCGGTATTCATTCAAGCATTAGGAATATGGTTATTATTTATTTCCATTCTATTACATGTTATCTTACTGGTCTGACACTAATTACATCGAAATACATTTTTTATCATAACGAATTTAACTAAACTTACGTTTTTTTGTGTACCTAGAACGTATAAAAAACTTTACTCACTGTTATCAATATAAAAAATGGTTTGATACTCATAAGTCATATTATTATTATTATGAAAGTTGATTAGCAACAATCGTAGGTACTATACACCATAAATTTGTCGCTTAGCCGATAACCTTTTCAACCATGTCACTTATACCCTTATAAAAGGCACTTGTCCCCTATTTTTGTAACAGTTATGTCGCTTATCCCAAAAATCTAAATTCTTGTACTTCAGAACAACACTAGCGTTGGTGCGATCGAAAAAGATCTAACTGTCGGTTGTCCCGTAATGCGCAGCGCGTCGCTTAGCCACTTTTGCCTTTGACCAACCGATATTGTAATAACGGGCGTTTTTCCCGACCGTTTCGTCGTCTTACGGCCGACCGGACGCCGGTGCTCGAAAACGATACGGTTACACGCGTATTGCTTACGGTATAACACACATTATGTAGCTGTTGGCGCGTCGGTATTGTAATCACGACTACGTGTTTTTGGATATCATTATTATTATTATTATTATTACGATACGGCTTACGGTCGATCGGAGACGGAGTGAAATCTGCTGCAGCGGCGACGGACTTGGCGAGCGAAACCGCACGATGTAGAACATTGCATTTTACACGCGTGCACGGGTTAGTACATGTTTGCCGAGGTCTTAATAGGAATACATAATTACGCTGCCGTACACCACCCGCAACAGGCACAACTGCGCGTATCGAAATCGCATTCGTTATCGTCGTCGTTATTATTATTCGTTGATTCGATTCATCGTCGTCGGTGTGTGATACGTGCGGTTTACTAATCAAATAAGGCAGACGCGAAACTCGACGCACGCCTATACCATTGAATTCGGCCACGCGCGCGCGTATCGTTAGAGCGTAATGAGCGTTATCACGATTTGGCGCGCGAACCTCTCCCGTCGGTGTAATGTCCGAACGGGTGTCGTTTGTCCGGGGGCGATAGACGAATTCACTCGATTTATCGCGCGTACTATACGTGCAATGAGTCGTAACAGGCGCTCGGGGGGGGGGGGGAGAAAGCGGATCCGTACTCGAACGGTCTTAAATTAATGGGCTTGCGAACTTCACATATTGCACACACCGTCGTTCTACCATCGAAAGTCACGCCGATCGCGTACAGAAACTCGGCGAACGAATCCTGACTCGCTTATACTCTTCTGCAACCCGGTCCTTCCGCTCCTGATTTCATACAGTCCTGTTTCCTCTTCAAATTGTTTCGCCAACACACATATTGTGCACTACGACGCTGGCTCGTCCGGCTCTACTCTTCCCGCGTTCAATACCAACATTGTACAACACCGAAATGAGTTTTTTATTATTTTTTTTAATAAAAATAATAATTCGTGCGCGCGTCCTACGGTGGATGGATATGCGTGTTATTCCACGCGGCCGGAAATCGAAAGACGCTAAATCAACCACGAAATACGAACGAACATATTATTTTTACGGCTACGCGTATCGAATATCAGTGGTTTACGATATGCGCGAGACCAACATAACGGGACCCCGCGCGTTTTTAGTAATAATATTTGTTCGCTCGCAACGCATTATAATATTGTAATAGGCACATGCACAGGCCGAAATGTTTCCGTCGAAACACGCCTACGTCGCGACACGCGAATGTAATAATGATTTCGGTCGAGTCGGTCCGTTAAGGATTTCGTAGCCGAGATCGAGTGTTTTTTTTTTTCCAGCGGGAAAAATAAGTATTCGGACAGCTTACGCAATACACGTGTGCATAGTGCGAACCTATTATCTCCCGTACGGCCGTAGGCGCACACGGATACCGTTCGTATGCATATACGTGTGTGTGTGTGTGTGTGTGTATTTATGCGTATAAAATGCAATCGCGGTGGATCGGTGTACCGTGTGGGCACGCGCGCGCCCGGTGTTACGCTCGGTCGTAGGTCACGGCTGTAAATCCCGATCATGAACAAGGGGATCGCTAATTCACGATGATCATTACCGCCGTCGCGTACGCACGTCGTAGGTGGTGGATAAATACGGAGCGACGGCACCGGGCACGCCCCCGCGTCTGATCGCGACACGAGTTACCCGTACCGCGCGGGAAGACGTACGCGCTACGTTTTATTCCCTTGTTCGTTGCTTTTGACAACGTTTTTTTGGTCTTGCGACGGTGCTTCTGAGATCAGTTCAATTCAGATCGGTTGAAGTAAAACGTTAAAGAAAAGAAAACTGCTGACGAAATGATTAAGTTAGTGCGATCGTGAGGATTTTCGGGGTCTTGTGTGGAAGGCACGGTTTAGCGAACCTTATCCGACTACATCCGCTCTTGGTGG